AAATATTTTATTTTTTCAAAAAAAACTCGATGGGGTTGATATGCTCAAGAGACTGAGATTTTGACCCACTGATGGAGTACAATTGTTTTTTTTGTGTCTGTTTTCTGGTAATAACTTTTAAATGAAACTCCAGTTTATCATCTTTTACCATCTCCATTGCGTGCACAAGGAAATTGACAAAGAAGATGTTATCGTTGTCGTGTTGATGATCCGTTTTATGTGATCTGTGAGATAGTGTAGTAGTTTGTTTGGGATTTGTTTGAGGAAATAGCGGAAAACCATTTGACTGTTTTTCTAGAACAAATTGATTTGTTTATATTAACACACAGTTGACATAGACTCGGAACTAAGAGGGAAACCAATTGAGTGTAATTCTAGAACGTTTGATCATTTGAAGTTTTTTTTTTTTTTGTAAGAAACAAAATACCTGTCAATGTGCGAGAGTTAAACATTGAAAAGCTCGGGTTTGTGAGTTGCTGGATTTTCAAGTGGTGTTTTCGTTTTGCCTTTATTTTCGAGAAAGTCAATAGTAAACCATTAAAATGCTTTTAAACTACTAATAAACGTCCAACACTTGGTTGGTTTTTGTGGGAAAATGCAAAAGTCAATAAAATACTTTTCACACAAAACTTGATCAATAAACCCTTGTGTGTTTTTTTTATATACATTCGATAATTTCTCAGATTTTTTCAASCACTCAAAATGGGTGTTTTTCAAGATGCTCTAAAAAATTTGAATGCTTCCTAGAACAATTTCCAACATGTATCACGCAGAAAAACCTTTCAAGTGCTCGATTCACTCATGATTAAACAAAAAGAACAAGTTAAAAGTTCAGGATTTAAGTCAAAAGATATAGATCTCATGGATGTTAGTACATTTTTAATTTTTGCCTTTCATCTGACATGAAATACTATTTCCTGAAACAAATCAAACGCTCAATCTGATTGCCTGTGACAATTTTAGTTCGATAAAGATTACGATCGAAGGTACAAGGAACCAACATAGTTAATCCACATAGTCTTAACAACAAGCAATTAAGCATTAGGATTACGAAAGGTTTAATTTTTCTATATAATTCTATTATTCAAAGTTAACGCTGGCGAGATTGAATAATTGGTACTGTTGTTTTACTTTGCTAAAAGATAAAAAAAAAAATACAAAATGAAAGATAGATTTCATCGATAAGGGTATAAAAAACACGTTTTTGATTCCCAGACAAGATAACAAACGGTCTTCATATGAACCAGAACGAAAAAGTAACAGATAGAATTGGCGGTCAAATTAAAGCGTGCTAAAAATCTCTTTAAAAGAACCTAATTTATGCACCAGTTTAAATCTCATCAGTCGAGGACGAAATAATTACCTCATGCCAAGCAAAAACAACCTTCTACACCCAAAGGTAAACTTCAAATTGATAGTACAGAAACGATTTTATTATGAGGCACTTTTATAGCAAGACAGAATCGCTCAACATAAATCTATAATTGTTGCTTTAAGTGCAGTCTTTTCCTATAAATTATGGCCTTTTCATCCGGGCTTTATTGTTTTGCCCGGAGAAGAAAAGAAATAGTTTTAATAGCTATTAGCATTAAGAGTCGCTTATACGAATCTAGGAGACTCATTCAGAGACACGCGGAACGACTATGAACTTTTAACGATTGCTTTGTCGGTCTTAGCACAAGGAAGTTGATTACTCTTTTTCACGAAAGTTATTGAGATACAGACTATTTGTAAACTCACCAACATAAATCTTTGTATTTACAAATGACGATCGCAAAAAAAACTTTAAAAACGCACACACAACTAGAGTCGTGCCATCGACAAATGACGGAGAAGCTCGATGGATATTTTATCAAGTAACCCCCTATAATATATTGAGCTCATTGGGTGTGGCAAATCATACGTGAATCAGTGACACCTTTAAACCCGTGAAATAAAGTGTAAAAGTCAAAGTTTGGTAATGTGTGAAAATTCACCGAAACTGCGCAAAGAAATCAGTGCAAAAAGAATATTAAAGTGCATTGCGAGGGTTTATGAAATACACTCTATATTACCGACACGAACTATCAATTGTAACTATTTGAATACGAAAAACAAAAAGCAAATTAAAATTCATCATAAAAAATAATAATWATATTCTTCAGAAGGATTTGAGTATTATCATCGTTATAGAGAAATTTCTGTGGTTTTAGGAAATAATAATGCAAAATAGCTAACAAAAAATGGTTTTTTGGATGTTGATTAGTCAACAGCGGTGTTTTTATTAGAGGAAAAAAAAGTTAATTCGGGTGAGATGAAACATTTGGTCGAAAAACACTTAACAAGCTAGAACACGAGGCAACCAATCACAGACGACCAACAAGCAGGAGACAATGAGACATACAGTGCCAGACAAAGCAATGGCAGCGGTCTTTCCTGACTGATTTATGATTGTTATTAGAAAGCCACGTAGCTTTCAACGTGGACAGCAAGCTGCATGCGATCAATTTGAACTCGCATCATTTTTATGTATTTTTTAAATCTAGACTCGTGCGATTTTGCCAATTTGGGCTTTGAAAATTAACCGCGAGACTTTCAATTTATTTTGTATTAAACCAGACGACCCATATGGTTTCCTAAAGCTATAGTTAAGGACTATATTTATATCTTTTTCATGGCAGGTGATATAACTAGACAATAAGCCGTCTGCCCGGCAGTATTTGATTCTGAATTGCACTTGTAGTATTTCGATGACTAAAGCAGGACCATAATACCTTTTGGTCATGCAAGTCATGTGACTTTCTTGTTGACAGTCTTTTTGAAAGACACATGGGCCTTTTCTCAAATAGCATATGYCGTTGCATTGTGGTCTAGATTCTGTCCAAGCATCTTTTGTTTCTTRAGCCAAATATGGTGTTGTTTGTATTGAAGCTAGACCATAATGCACCATGATTTCGSAATACAAAGAAGGTCTATGCATGGTAAGCACGTTTGGAAAGTGTGGGTGGGCTAGCTGTGTTCTAAAATGTGCCGATTTAATCGCCCATTTTCGATGCATGTTTTTATATTTTTTTATTAAGATGTGTTTTTTTTCATAATCCTGTTTCACGATTTTACTCCATTTGAGGGGTTCGTCTATCAGCCTTTGCGCACAAATCCAGTGGATTTCTTTTTGGATCGTTCTGGTAGTGTGTAAACACACATTTTTTTTTAGAATATGCGGTTTATCAATATCCTAATCAAATATCCTGATACGTAAAAAAACAGGCTTTGACTCTGTTATCAAAGTCATAAATACGAGCCTGTGTATAGAACTTGGTGTCTAATAGTTGATAATTATCGCCATTTGTTTCACAAAGCTACGCGACACATGCACCAATGTCTATACGCTGTAAATTCCACTTTTCTAAACAGCAGTAGCCCCAATGTTCCTTTGAGTTTCCTTAATTCTCAGTTTCAATCTCCGCTTTAGTAAAGTTAATTAAATATATTTGTATTTGGTGGTCTGGGTGGTGGTCACTTAAGATAATATAATATAAGATAAGACTATTTTTAGTTTCTATTACAACGCGTCACGCCTTCCCAAACAATCTCATATCACAAAGCAAGGCTATATCGATGATTGATTTTAAGGCAGTAGGAAGGTTTTTCGCGCGGTTTTTTTTATAATCAAATCAGAAACTTCACCTACCCCTCCCTGGACATTTTTTMATCTCATTGATGTGGTAGCCTTGACAACGATTTGACAGTACAATCTGAGACAGTAAAAAGAGCCGATGATAGAAGGCGAATTTCTTTCAGTTTTGGACTGTATGCATTGATGGTTATCTGGTTTATAGATAAAAATTAATTCAATTAACATACCCAGCACTCACCACGAAAAACCCTCAGTTGATCCCTCGGCGGCCTCAGACATCGTTCTTATAAATGCGTCACAAGATCACATCGATTTAGTTCCTGTTTTCGCCCTGCTAACTGTGCCATATTGTATTCGCTAAACTTACTCTTTAAAAGATCGCACTTTCCACTCAAGGTAAGCTTATCCGTACTTGACGCATCCGCACCTCATCTCATGCGCCGAGGCACTCGAAAACGCGTCACTTTGRTGCGCAAAGAGGATTTCTTGAATTGATGCGAGCGATGACTTTATTTGATATTCCTATTTGTCTGACTTATAAAAGTAATTGAATTAAGGTGAAACCAAGTATATTACAGGGAGACTTTTAGTCATTTTGACAGCGTTCTCAGTACAAATCGTCAAGGTTTTTTTGAAATATCTTTCATTTCGTTAGTGAAATTATGTGGCCAAAATGGATTGTATTTAGTGAGTTAATTGACTCTTAAAACACTTTGTTTCAATAATGAATTCATGATCAAAACGCGCAGAAATATTGTATTTTTTTTCTGAATCGCAAGGTAGACATGAGATTTCTCAGTTTTTTGAGCGTTTTTGTGTGATAAAAGAGACAAGAACAACATATGAGAATGTAGCATCGTTTTTATTACCCAACAAATTGCTCATTACAAAAACCTAAATACCAAACAACTCGGATTGTTTTAGGTTATCAGGAGACATGATTTGAGGCCAGCCGAAACATGAGAACCCAATTCAATTCGTATTTGGTTAGGGAAATTATGTTGATCTAAGGACTCGCCAAAAGGCAAGCGAACTAATACTTTCATCTGGTTCTGTTGTGCTACTGRGAYYAACCTTAATTGTCCAAGTAGTCGTTTTTATGTCTCTTTTCACAAGAAATGATCGCGATTTGATTAACTCTAAAAGGCTGTAATGAGTGATTGCAAACACTTTGCTACCGCCGACGCTTTTGATTGGTCCAATATCACGTGACCTTGCAGTGAGAAGCACGAAAAGGTCAATATGTCAAAAAGACAATTTTTAGAAGAACCAAGAAAGTCGCTATTTGCTATTGGGCTTTATGTCCTGTTGAATCTTAAAAAGCAAATACTGTTAAAACATTTCAGKATCTACTGATCTTTTCATCGTACTTCCTTCTCTATAGAAAACCGTGACACAAAGCTATCTCGGATATCACTAGTGAGTTGCTGACAAGCTGCCTTCAAATAACTAGAAAAAAGACGGTAAGACAGATTTTTGAAAGTTAAATCGTCTAGTTCTCTCTTTCTTTTATAATGGCCTCAAAAAGCTGTCATTGAACACACTTTTCCCTAACGACAAATCTAACTTGAATGTGTCCAAACTGCACTTGATTTTACAAGTGTCTTAAAAAGCGCCCAAATTGCCCGAAAGCCATCTTTGTAGTCTGAAATATCACATATATTTGGCGATTTCTGGTCGTTTCTTTGTCATATCTTYATTSAATCTGAAGGCGTAGATTACTTTTTCTTCYTGGATTTGTCGCCTTGGGTGTTTTTTTAAGCTCCAGTCTGTTTGGGAAAAAATGTTACCAAAACTAACAGCTGTGAAAAAAATACCATTCAAAAAGACAAGCCTAAAGTGGTTGTTTTATTCATTTATTTGATTTAATTTATGTTTTTAATTTTGGTAATGACTCAAACCAGGCCGTAAAATATTCAGAAAATAGTGCATTTAAACTGAGGTTAAGTGCAGGTTATTTGCGAGAAGAAATTGGAAACAAAACAKACATTGCTTGCAATAATTGCTTGAATTATCAAATCTCTCATCTACCAACACCAACGCACTGAAGTGATAATATTACAACCACCTAACCGATCTCACTTTTCGATCAGTACTTTCCCCTTTRACTGCCGGGCGTTTGAATGTCTGAATACTTCCAGGTAACTGAATTTATTTGCTCAGTTCACCCCCAAAATCGTCTTCATCGATGAAAGTAAAGTAGTGTGATTGTCGTCATGGACGATTAGTAGCTTAATTGATTTGCCTTGTAGCTATTTTTTATTATGGAAGCTACTCTTGATGACGGGATAATAGGCCAGAGTCGTTTCTAGTGGAGCGATTAGTACGTGTATAATTCATTTGAACTTTGAGGGTTTTGTTTTGATGCGCGACGACCAAGTTCCACCAAATCAATCATTCATGTAATTATCCACACCACTGGATATTCAAAACCAAAAAACTACCATATCTTCTCATGGAAAACACGCGTTATCATTTTAAACTCTTTCAATGTTGCGATCTTTGGTTTGTCCTCTGGGCACGCTCTTGGCAAAATTGTTTCCTTTGCGGCCCTTGTGTTCAAATCGGTCTCTTTCGGATCAGTCCTCGGGCACCTTCCTCCTTGCAGATAAACTTATCTGTGTTTCATCAGCTAATAAAATAGAMGTAATATCATCTAATTATAGACAGATAGGTACCCTAAAAACCGGCGAAAGCGCAATAAATCTGCATTGTTGTGGCTCTCTGGCTGTCATTTTGTCAAGCAATCGCGATTGCAAATCTGAAGTTTGAGAATCAAGGAATGCCACTTATTTCAACTTAATGGAAGTACGTTTATATATTTGGACAATTTTTTCGCGTTGACGGAACCTTTAGTTTCACTCGGGACGCCTAATGTCGCTTAATAGCTTATAATAAATCGTTTAATACCACCTAATAATGCAAAATGTCAAGAAAAACAACTGTTTTTTTATCAATGTTTTATACTCATTYAATACAGTTAGTTGTCCTTACAGCAATTCCGCGAAATCATCAGAGAACGAACAGACTGTACTTGTAAAATCACATCATCATCATCGCTGCCGGTTCGTCGTGTACAACGACCATGACGGCCATTAACCCGAGGTTCGATCTAAAATTAGATCCCGGAAATGAACGATTATGTCCAATTTAGTGTTGCGTGAGTGGGAAGCCCCTCGCCATTAAAAGTGCCATGCCCTCAGTGCTATGCTTGGTTCGTGTTCCATTCCAAGTGATCGATAAAAAGAGGTGTCGTTGAAGAAATTAACTGCGTGGTAGTATATAAGTTGTTTTTATTTATGGAGGTGGTTATACTTGGGTATGATCACATCTTATACGTAGTGTCTWTATAGTCACTAGAATAGCTCTAACCATATGTGAGTTTGACTTTGTTTGATGTGTTGTTCTCTCCRTTGCCACGAGGGTTTTTCTCCGGGTCCTCCGGTTTTCCTCCCTCTGTAAAAATCAACATGTGAGGAGTGTTGTGTGCTAAAATACTTAATGTAGAGGTAGTGAGTGTGAGAGTACAGGGTCCGCAGTTATTGGCTCACGCTGTTGCGGTGTCCCTGCCCATACTAGGGGCAAAGCTAAATAAAACAAAAAAATAAAAACAAACAAACAAACAAACAAAAACGCGTTTTTCCATTGTTGTAAAATCCTTCGAGGAAGCTAGAACAATGGAAAAACGTTACTTGGACGATCATGGACAACAGACCCAAAACTACTTCTTTTTACGTAGAAATAGCACGCTATAACATAGACCTTTTCTGAAATACAAACTTATAGTGCATTGTGGTCTAGCTTCATTACAAACAACTCCATATTTAGTCACATGAACAAAAGAGGTTCGAATCGAATCTAGACCACAATGCAATGCAAACTGCTATCTCAGAAAAGGCCTGGTCGATGTTATTTCAAAAAAGMTTGATTATTGATGGCAAAAAKCACCCATCAAAGGCAGTTGATACTATATTGCCATTAAGTGAAGAGGTTTAATGATGGTTTTGGAACATTTGTGAATATAGCCCATAATATCGAATACCCACAACACCTTTCGGTCGACGTTCAGCTCTGACAACTTATTTTGACATATCTATTTTAGCAAGTTTAGTTGTTTAGGAACAGGTGTTTGTTGCTCAGTGGTTGTCTGTGTTGTAGCGCCGGGTCGTTGTTTAGAGGGAGGCGTAGCTATTTATATATTTCCACTGATTAGACGCAAATCAGTGCATAAATACATCGCTATACCATCTGCCGGTGAACTTTACTGTGTAATCCAGTTAAACACAGATTTTACTTTTTGAGTATGCAGGTTGATAACTATCTTTTTATCCTATCTAAATCATGTGGATGGTCAGATCGTCAGATCTATAGAGCTATTTATAGTACTAAAGCGCTTTAAGTTCACGAAATCGCCTCGARTTCATCTCTTGCTCAAAAGAGGATAAAAAGTTTAGGGCTCATGTCTTGAGTTTTTTGATTAGATATACTATAAAAGCCCCAAGCATGTAGCACTTACGTCCTTAACCCCATCAATAATTCACATTATTCCGCCTTTTTTTTTTTCTAAACAACATCGATTATCGTGTGAATATTCTTGATAACTGCCTTAGCATTTTAAKCCAAATTCTAGATTTAAGTAATTAKATCATATACCAGGCTAGGGAACTAAGTTTTTACCATTAGCTTTGAGTGTATATCGGCCGCTCTATATCTCTAACCCATCGCTTCCGGCAGATCTCCAAGGGACATATCTCTTTGTACGACTTTATCGCTCACGCTAATGACAATGATCCATTCCRTGTTCWTGCTGAGTTTGTTTTTTTCAACTTGTTTCGAATCACTGATCAKATGCATGGGAACGATCGAACGCTTGATCACATGCATCGACCGATCGAGAGCGAATGATCATTTTTAAGCACAGACAAACATCAAACAAAACAACAAACAAAAGGAGTTTAAGGTAAAAACAAATTGCTTCTTTCAATCTATAAATATATATACATATATTCTTTATGAAATCAGGCCTTGATAACTTCTTTTTTATGAAGCGTTCATATTTTCATATTTTCTCTCTTTTAAAGTTATAAATTTTTCAACTCTACATCGCTTTTAGTTTTAAACTTTGTTCTGAAAACAGATTCATATTTTTTTAAAAAAAATCACAAATAGATATCAATTATCGCGAAATTTGCTCATTGTATGGTATACTTTTGATATGATTTTATAAAAAAATTATATGATATGACACCAAATACAGAAAAAATTGAGGGCTCATCGACAGAGATGTTGTTCTTTAGTGGTCTTTGATGTTCAAATTTCAAGTGCTTTTCGCGGAAACAGGATGGAAAAGTCACCGTCTGTGTTAAAATTTCATCCTGATCTCTCTTCATTCTAGATAGCATTACAATAAGACAAAAAAATAAGGTGAAACTTACTGTAAGTGTACTCTGTCAAGTCTTGTGAAAAGAAAACAAGAATTCAGTCTCCATCTTTTCTTGATGCTTCCAACATGGCGCGGCAAGGTCTCAGAAAAACGGGTTCTTGGTCGTGCGGTTGTGCACCAGAAAAAAAAAAAAAAAATTGTAACTGTTACAATAGAACTCGTGTGCCTTCCCCTGAGGAGAGAATTCTGCTTTGMCTATCTAGTCATAAGTTCATTTGAATCATGCGTTGTGCACCTATGGATTTTCGTCGCTTCCATTGCTTTCGTCCTCAAAGGAATAAAAACTGATGCAACAAAACGAAAGCATTTCAACGTAAAGGAAGACTTCAGTCATTTGTTCTTCCATTCATCCATTTACTTATCCATTCATTTTTTCATTCATGTTTCTCTCACTMAACCATCCATTTATTCATTTCGTCCATCCTTTTTTCCTGCAGTTTCTCTTTCCGACAGCATCTGATAAGATCAATCGTTAGGGAAACAATAGCTGCCATTCCCGGCAAAAATGCATTCAGCTCATGGCAATCATCCCGGACAATTCTCCTAGCAATAATCTTTTCTATTTTTGTAGCAAGTTTTTGTATATTTGTAAGGTTATAAATCTCTCTTGAAAATAAGAAAGACATACTGCATTTAAACAAATTTCGTTGGCCAAAATCAGTACCATAAAAATCTATTTTAAAAGATGCACCTTCAAAAGAATCGTTTTTGGCTGAAAAAAAAAAACAACAACATTGAAACGAAAGATTAAAGCTATGATCATGATCTTTGTTCCGAGATATCGTGTGGCCAGTAATTTGTCTTTTCTCTTTTTTTCAAAAGTTCATCGCCTCGTCACAAAGTCTTCATTGTTAACACAAAGCTCAACAATAAACTTCTGTCAAACAGGGAATGCAACGAATTTTATAAAGACTCATTAAATAACCACACTAATCATTTCCTACAATTTACCTGCACTTCATGACGTTATATTTATACGTCATTATGACGTCAATGTTCTATTCGTCGTTTAAAGTTAAGTGTGGTGTTAATTATCATGCATTGRTCCAGGCAAATGAGTGATGGGAAGTATAAAACCGTGAATGATTCTATGTGATTTATACTGAAATATTGGTTGTAGGTGAATTTGAAGATTCCAACGTGGCTTTGAAAATTGAATTTGAATGTAGCTGCGATATCGAAACAATAACATAGCAAAATCTTGACAGCTGGTTGGAAAACATTTTTTTCGTCGGTTGTGGTGGTGTCGTCGTAAGAAAGTTGCAAAGGMATCCCAACTTAACTGTTCTAATAACTATTTCTGTTAATAAGCCATCAATCAATCAATAAACGCGGAACGGAATGTACGAACAATTATTATTTCTCTATGGGAGAGATATAGAGAGAACGGTGGTGAAACAGAAAAGTCTGACATGAGCAGCTTACAACACTCAACTACAGAGAAAGAGTGAGTGAGTGAGAGAGTGACTAATGAGACACAAACGCGACGTGTGGGATATTATTATTTGCACAACTGCTTCTCTTTACTTCAATCTAGAGCCTTTCACTTTATTTTCCTTCAGGCGTTATTGTGGGAGGAGCAAATTGTCCATAGATTCTATATATGGAGTAAATAATGACATATTCTGTGCAATTCAATTGCGCAAATCTTTCAAAACCTTTTCAAAGCTATTTGCATATGTCTTTGAAATCATATGTTCTATATTCTCACATATACTTCTTAAAGTRAGGGGAAAGGGAAGCTAAGGGAGGGGGATTGAGAAACGACGTTTTTGGTTTAGGGTTAGAAAGGTTTGATNGGCGAACAGTGTTTATGTATCTTCTTGACGCCTTATATTTACCAAGCCTTCGTATTCTAAATAGCCTTTTTGAAAGTCAAAAACTCATTCAGCTCACGATCAAAGCTGAGTCAACAACAACGTGTCAAGATTGTGATCATTTGGGTGCGCGCTCTAACAGTTTCCATTGTTTGTCGATAGTGAAAAGTTAACTTTAATCCTTTTCTATTTTTCTGGTAATTATTATCCGAAAAACATTTACGACAGTGTTTAYAAATACCACAAACAAGCCAAAAGCAGCTTTCGTCGCAGTTTGATGGAAAAAATGGGTTCATTTCTTTCTTTTTAATACTGAACTCGCGGGGAACACTATTGACGGATATCCGTCTTTAATTAATTTAATTTTTCTGCTCCCGTCTCTTTTTTGCTGATTTGTATCGATGTTTATAACTAAACCATTCTGCCTCAGGAGAAATTCACCGTATAATTATTACTTTGTAAAAAAAATTACCGACAGAAACTTAGATCAAATCAAGGTGTTCAATGCGCTTGTAGTTTTGCCGCAAGTTATAAGCCTAAAGTAAGAGGAGGCTTTATAACTGAGGACATTAAAAACACTTATAATGTCGAAGAGAGTCAGGCGGAGCGCTCAATATACTTACGCTTTGTTTACATGTTTTAAATAATAGTTCAACACTTATTAGACTAAGAGTTCTCGAGAGTAAATATATAGTCGTGCGCGCCCGAATGATGCCTTCTGTAATATAGTCACATCTTTAGCTATAAATATTCAGTGGTTTTTGATCAGCTGTTCCTGTTAATATGTTCTAGGACATGTAAAAGCAGTCTTCTCGTCGCACACTCGAATCATGATCAAGCTAGGRTTGCTAATCGTCATGTCAGTGGCCGTTGGGATTTCATTTGGTAAGTGCAAGGACTTCAATACTTGATATTTTCGTTAATGTAGAAGTTGACGTTTCTGATGTGGTATAATGCTGACGAAATCTGGTGTTTATTATCAGATTATTAGTGTTGTATTTGTTGCAAAGAGTGAGGAAGCGATATATTTTGTCCAACAGTGTATGTTTCGCTGTTTGTGCTAATTCTCTCTTGTCTCATTTTTCAATTTTATAGTTCCTTTTTGAGCGTTTTTTCATTGCAAACGTACAAGTTATCCTTACCTAATAGCATTCGTTTCACTTGTGGGTTTTTTGGACAACCGCTAATTCGAATATAATTCTTATTTTATATGTTTCCTACTAAAAAGATCTTCAGAATTGTCCAGTAATGAGGCAGTACAGACGATGTTCTGCATCTCATTGTCATTGTTGGGGTACATTTCCTATCTAGTGACAGCCATACCTGCTATATGGTGTCTTAACATGTACATTTCGCAAAAAAGATCACCGCTAAAAGTCGAAAACACGCCGTCAAACTGTTTTTATTTGACGTAATCGCATAGCTAAGAATGCCTCTAATCTTTGGACATATTGGTACAGTGTGTGGTACATTGGTGCAGTGTGTTTTCGCTGTCTCAAACCAAAGTGATATATTTTGAACTTTAATAACAAATAAATAAAAGTCTTATTAAGTTATGACAAAGTTCAATTACAAAGTAAAATAAAGTGAAAAATAGACTGATGAATTTGAATAAACAAGGATAATATGAAATTATAAAATAGTCTTTGTTTATTAGATGAAAATAATCGTTTTTAATTTCGGTATTGGGACGCTAAAAACTACAATGGTAGAAAAGCGCAGGAAAGTTTATATTATCTGAGCTCTTTAATGATAGATAGTCTAACATAGAATAACATGGAACGGAATGGGTAGGGATGATTTTATAAATTGTAACAAAATTTGACAAGAGAAAGCAACGGCAGTGCAATAGAAGACAAAAAATATTGAAATACTCAGCAAAACAAAAACAGAAAAAAAATATTTACTAAAATAACGAAAAAATAAAATATATATTTCAATAAGCATTATMATGAACAATATTATGATAAGAATTTACTAATTTAATGAAAAAATAAAAGATAAAACTCATTGGAAATACAGATAATAAAATATAACAATACGGTGAATATGAAGCAAGATAAAGGTGAGAAAARATCGTAATTGCAAACTTACTAATGATAACTGAAGTATTTAATCAAATCATATTGAGTTTGAATGGAGCTCACTGGTACTCTTTATTCCTCTATATTGATATAGTAAATTTTTTCTAGTTTTTTTTTCAATTACATCACCATGGTAACGTACATTTTTCTTTTCATGGTTCCGTTTCACTTRAGGAAATTATTCTAAGGCCTCACACCGGTCTCTAATGAAACCGGAATTATACGAAAACAATAACAAATGCTTTTATGAGATGTCATCAGGATCACTCGATCGAGATATGCATAYAATCATTGATAGAATAGTTGATCAAAACATCGATAGAACTCTTGATCAAATGAGACAAAAAAAAAGCGAGACATTGGAGAGAATGTATGATCAAGACGTTAGAATCCTTGATGAAGCAAATAAAGACATGAATAAGTCTTGCACTCCAGTTGATGCTAGAACTTACATGTCAATAAATTTCGACAATAGTTCATTAAGACTGAAATGAACAGCAAAACTCATCATTGAAACTCTAGAATACTTGATCAAAGAAGACGGCTGATGGATAGAATCTTTGATCAAAAGTCTTAACTGTATCTTTGATTGACAGAGAAAAAAAACTAACTTGTTTGGAAGGTTTTCTGAGCACTCTCAGTTCTATTTTAAAAACATTCTTTTATCTCTTTTCTTGTCTCAGTTCCGGTAGGGTTTTKGATGGCTTTGTCACGACCATCAATTTAGAGTCAATTCAAAACGCATCAGGGGATCATTGCCTTGAAGTGGTACATTTGAAAATGAGTTTATAACGGATATACTTTCAGATTCTTCTGCTTGCATTGACTTTCAAACAGACGTTCAAACAGCAAACTAAAGCAATTTAGATGGTATATATATATATATCAATCTTACAAGTGATATAGTAAAACTTATCAATAACTGTCGTTTAGTTTATTTACATTTTTTAGTTTAATTTGCTTACATTTTTATTATTATCTTAATAACAATCTTCATTCTTTCCAAAAAATTAAGTCATCATGCAGCAGTCGCCATCATCAATTTTATTATCACGGTTCATATGTATTACATGTAATAGTTTATTGATTATTTTATAGTTAGCTATGATTATTATCACTAAGCCGACTGGTTTATCCCACAACAGTTTGACAACGATACAAGTATTTTACACAYGGGCTGARTTAGAAATGAGGGGTGTGTTTCAGAGAGTACGAACCCCCCCTGATCATTTTTAATGTTACCCCCCCTGAATCTGAATCCTGAATCTGKCATTATTACGATACAGATATTRTAGGATATTATCATATAATGTAGAAAGCGGATTAATGAGCCTCATCGATCAAACGAGTTATAATGGCAATCGTCATCAATTCCATCATCTTGATATTTCATCATTTCATGTACAGTACATTCCTTCCATTAATGTACTTTGTTCGTTATAGAATTAATAKCACGGCCCCCAAAAGCGCCATTTGGTACAAAATACTGGGTTTTAAAAGGTTTTTTTCGTCCTACAGCTAATGAATAACCGTTATCCTCGTTAGAAGGGTATATTTAGACCCCCTCGATTGCTTTTGCTGTCCACACCTGTTCATGAATCGTGACGAATCTCTTTCGTATGGTACAATTTATGCCAAGAAAGATCCTTTTTTCAATGCCTTAGATCGACTGTTGCCTGTTCGCAGCTGCAATGATTCAGTTAAATCAACAGTAGAATACTAAGCAATTTAATACCTTCTCTACTAAATGATATCTGCTTAACGTAAAGTAAATACAAAGCCAAAAATAAAATAGAAMCCCTCCAGAACGTACAGTTTTGKAATACCACTTAGWATGCCGRGTTYRTCTCTYTGGCTTCATTAGTGATTGTTTATTGAGCACAATGACTGACCACATAGTCACCAATTWTAAAATTCTGCCACAACTCAAAACAACTACTGTCAGGGAGGGCATGACGTGGTATATTTTTTGATCGTGATCTCGTTTTTAAAGCCAAAGTTTCAATGAACCCTGATTCAAATTATCTTTCGCACATGATAACTGATCGACCAAAGTATGAYTGATCCGTGATCCCAAATTGTATTTTGAACGATCACGTTTCTTGTATACATCTGATCCCAGATCTGACAATGATCTAGATCCCAACGGCTTTGATCCCTAACCCTATCCAAACGTTTATCCCAAAGTCGTTCATACGATATGCAATTCACTCCTCTTCATACCTTTACCCAAAAAGGAAAAAAAGACTTATTCCTTCCAACATTTGCAAATGAGTTTAATTTTCCAATTAAATAATTGCCAAACAAAGCTTTAGGCGATGATATTTGATTAGTGTCTAAGGTTTTAGTGAAAGCATCACAATTTTTTTTGTATGTGTTTTAGGGTATTCGCTGAAAAAGAAAAAGAGTTGTACATTTTCGACCGATGAGGGACGCTGTTGTGTTCTACCGTTTGTTTTCAATAATCGTACCTATACTGAATGTACAGCTGACAAAATGGACGAGGAGGACTGGAGTAGACAATGGAATACCGGCCCCTGGTGTCCTGGTCGGGGTGTTCAACAAGGGCGAAGTCATCTTAAATGCTTTAGAACAGGTAACTGGCCGTGCCTACGAAGAAACGAGGGAAAGGGTGTGGTTTGTAAGGGGAGGAAAATTGGTGGACCWTTGTTCCACGTGTAATTTTCAATTTGATCTAAGAATAGACAAAATTGAGGATATAAACGAATCAATTAAAAAACTCATCGATAAATTGACAAGAGAAACGATAAAAACAATTTAAAATGAAACAAGGTGTATATAGTCTATAGAAAAAAATTGAAATCGTGCGAGAATCCAAGCATGAATATAAACAAGTGTCAAAAATAATAAAAAATGGAATGACTACACAAGTACCCTAGTAATGGAAGGAACTTGGAGTAATTAAATCGATTAATCAATCGAACACTTAATCGATCGAKCGCTTGATCATAAACCAATTACACTGCTCATTTTCCTTTTATCGTCGAAGTTTCATCTCTCATCCGGTTCTCGCGTTCTTATTACTATATTAAATCCATTATGTGAAATGCCTGCAAGGTAAATATATTAAATGAGYTGAATCGGCTTCGATAAGAACGAACGAACTCAACGTGATCCGATTCCACGTGGTTTTACGCGGTCCCGCCTTTTTTGTTCGGCGGTTTTTATCACTKCATATATAGTTGATTGCTACGATGTTTGCATTATTGTATTAACTTTGCGGCGAATTATAACGTACATTTGAAAAGCGGAATGATATATTTCGGTSTTTTTTGTGAAAATGATTGTCTGATAGAGCGTTAKAACGCAGATATTAAGAATCAAATATGGGATCGCATTATAGTGTTCCTATCAAAGCTGCGGAAAATTAACGACGAAAATAACATATTGCGGTTTTGGACTCATTAACTCATTATTGCGTTAATGGTCGGGTTGAGAATCATAAATCGTAGAAGCTGACACCCATAGGCTTCATGAGAAGGACGTTCTTTGGCTCAATGATTGAAACATATCGTTTTGTTGGCGCAAGTCCGAAGGCCGTGTGTTCGAGTCCCAGTCAAGATCGGAAATTAACTTTTCCCAAGGATCTATCGACCGCGGAAATACCTCATTCTCASCACCATATTTTGACTCTCTTTTTATTTATGAATCATATTTTAGTTAAGCTTCCCTTTTAGTAGGATTTTCTAACGTCCAATGACAACCGAATGAAAGTAGTCACCTGTCGTAGTTCATTCAGACTAATATAAACAGTCAATTGCAAAGCTCCACTGTCCCCTAATCAAATATATTTGATGGCTGTAATTTCATGATTAAGTCATAAATTTTACTTCTAACGGCAGAAAATGGGAGATTTAACTTAGATAAGCAAAGTGAATTTGTAATCTGCGCATTTATCAAGAAAAAACGGCGCGAACAAAGGAAAATTACCATTTGCGCATCCAAAAGAATTAGGTGTGTTACGAGCAAAATCATGTTTTATCAAATGGCGGTTTTTAATTTTTTCTTTTTTCTTCATTTCTTTCCAGAACACAGCTGTGGGGGACTTCGAACAGCTTCTGCTGGAGTTATTTCATCTTCAAACTTCAAACCTCGGCGTATAACGAACAACTCATTTTGTCTATGGAAAATAAAAGTTGCACAGTCCAACCGTATTTTTCTCAACTTCACGCATTTCAACCTTACCAGAGATTGTGCCAGTGCCTACCTTAATATATATGACGGAGAGAACACAACATACCCTCTATTGAAGAGGCTTTGTGGTATTGTCATGCCTCCCCCTATCGTCTCCACTAGCAACACGATGACGTTACTATTTCGATCTATGACGTCAGAGGAAAGAAAAGGATTCCGAGCATATTATGACACAGGTTGTTGTAAAKGATCGTCTTTGCTGTATTTTAACCATGTTTTAAAACACACTAATGATTTAAATCWCACGCTTAGTTTGAAATTTGAACTCATTGCATGTCGTTCCATAGGCGAGTGCAGTTCCTCCAATCAGRATCAATTACWTTGTGTGCGCAYTTCATGTCGTTTCATAGTCGAGTTCAGTGCCCCCCGATATATATTACAATAATTTGAACTCATTYCATGTCGTCCCATAGGCGAGCAKATTTCCCCTAATATGAATTACAATAATTTGAGAGCAATTTTTGTCGTTCCATAGGCGAGTTCAGTTCTCCGAATATAAATTACAATAATTTGAGCGCAATTCATGTCGTTCCACAGGCGAGTGTCATGTTCGTACGTGGGGTGGTAATGGCGGAGGTGCATGTTGTGTATTTCCTTTCATCTACAAAGGCGAAGTGTACAACAATTGTATAACGAAAGATGCTGAGCACGAAACGAACAACAAGGATCCGTGGTGTGCCGTGACTTCCAACTACGA